AGTCGAGCTGGAACTGTATAGGCAAGGATAGGATTCCATCTTTTCCATTAGGAACTGAAACAAGCTAAAACTGGCTTGGCTTGGGATATTGCAATGTCAGTGCGACGCGTCCTGAGCAGCGAAGGACAAGTTACCATTGCCATTGGCCAGGGTGACACCTACTGCGAGCTTACCACACCGACCAAGGTCCATAGCCTGATCAACGCGTGCTTCAACAGAATGTGGGAAGAGCCTTCTTTTACCAGGCACATTCCCACCAGAGTGGAATTCAATTTGGTCGCCGCCACGATCTCCACGGTCTACAATGAAGCGGCCTGCACAGGTGGCCTCGTCACGCGTATGTTCAAGGTCAAACCATGCCGCGATGCAGCCACCACCATGAAGATGAAAATCGACCACGACAAGGGTGCCGAGGAGGACAAAAAGCCCGCCAACGCAGGCCCGAAATCCTCGGTGTCCTCTGCTAAGCGTCCACAGCAGCCACGTGAGAATGACCAAGAGGGCAAGAGACCTCGAAACTCGGCGCCTTCGTCCTCGTCAGCCAGTCACTGGTCACGCCCCGTTCCGGCGCAGGCTCAGGACGCAGACTGGGACTGGCAATGGCAGACATGGTCTTGGGGAGGTTACTATCCTCCATACTGTCCATACTCAGCGTGGCCACCATACCAAGGCCAGTGATCAGGGCAGGAAATGAGCATTCAGCCTAGTCAACCTTGCAGACTCAAGTCTGCCTTAGGATCGATTTCTTGTAGCACCGCCACGCATGCATCCCACGTCTCACCGCCTCAGAGAATCTAATGACAAGTCTGTTAGTCTCTGTCCTTCGTAGAGTGTATCTTTTCAGCAGACTGGCTGGCACCGTGCACGAGCCTTGATGAAAACAGTCGGCACACTGCCCTATCAGTTGGAATTGATCATCATGATACGGCTGGCTTCCGGCCACTCCACCGCAGGTACTCTAAGATCCCCGCCGTCATTCCCTTACGGCCCACCGCTTGATGCAGGAGTTACCTAGTGTGGGACGCCACCAGGCAGGAATTCAGGGCGGCGGCCCCCCAGTAATGCGACCCAACTGCCATCAAGTGCGTGAGCACTGGATGCAGTGGCTCACACTTAGGGTGTCGGAGGAGGTTGAGATGTGTCGTCTCTAGTAGAGTCGATCTTGTAGAGAGGTCGTTTCTGAGCGAAAGATGCAGCAGCTTTCTCGTTTCACGAGTGCATGGGAGCAAGGGCGCCCGCAAAGCGCAGCGTTCGCTCGCGCAGCGTTCAATTGAAAAGTAGTAGTAGTAGTAGTAGTAGTAGTAGTAGTAGTAGTCGTAGTCGTAGTCGTAGTCGTAGTCGTAGTCGTAGTCGTAGTCGTAGTCGTAGTAGTAGTAGTAGTAGTAGTAGTAGTAGTAGTAGTAGTAGTAGTAGTAGTAGCAGTAGCAGTAGCAGTAGCAGTAGCAGTAGCAGTAGTAGTAGTAGTAGTAGCAGCAGCGGTGGCAGCAGTGGTAGCAGTAGCAGTTGCGGTGGATCTAAAAGCACAAAAGTAGTAGATCTAGAAGCAGAATCATGCAATTGCAGTTGTTTCTCCAAGGGCGGGCTAGGCGCGCGAGAGCCGACACCAGAGAGACGGTCGGTTCCGGGCCAGGCGCAGACACACGATGATGTGTTTCTTGAATAAGCTGTGGTTTGGGATTTGAGGTTTAGGGTTTAGGGTCATTTTTGGGATTTAAAGTTTGAAGCAGTCTTCGGGTTCAATTGTTTGAAGGCCCTGCAGTTTCAGGTTTGTGTGCACTTGGGAACGTGCTGTACATGTGAAGCTCCGGCCCCAAGCCGCATGGAACCAACCATGCCAAGCAATGCTCTTTTCCATCACAACTCCTACAACCCTTGTCAAACACTCTAACGGAAAGCCCCTCTTCTGTTTATCTCGCTTTGAACCGCCTGCACATTCGGCAATGCTGAAATTAATTTGCTTGCAATTGTCAAAGCCACGAGCTGTTTCCTGACAGGTGTTACGTGGAGGCTTTCGGCCAAAGGAGCACTGCCTCTGCTACTCAGGTTGTGCTGCTGAGAGGTGGTGGTGGTATGTGGTGTTCGTGACAACAGCAGCACTAGTAGTAGTAGTAGTAGTAATAGTAGTAGTAGTAGTAGTAGTAGTAGTAGTAGTAGTAGTAGCCGCAGAAGTAGCAAGGAATGCAGCATGCTTCTTCGCCCAGGCTAGGGTGCCAGAACCTGAAGGAAAGCTTTCGTCTCCAGGATCATCTCAGCGGCAGCGCTTGCGTGACTTCTGCCGCGCCGACCGCATTTCGTCACGGGGTATAGTACCATGTCGGGGCAAATTCAATGTCTATTGCCAGCTGCATGTCTTGCAGGATCGGCAAGACCATCCGCTGGCGCTGCCCCGCAAGGCCGGGACTTGTTTGTTTTCGCTTATCGGGATAGTAGCTTCTTAGTTTCATCAAAGCTATTTCTGGATCGTGCCCGGGCTGCTGTACATCGTCATCGTTTGTGGTGTTAGCAGCTGTCCGCATCGCGATATGGACTTGCTGCCATTAGGTTCCGGAAAGAGAATGACATGCATGATTCCTGCATTGATTCATTCCACGCAGCGGAATGTCGATCCACCTAGTCAGACGCGCGGTCTTTTGCCGGAGCCCAGCCACAGCATGTGCACAAAATGCGACTAACAAACCCATGAGTTCTACGTCCAGCGCATGGAGAGCGCATAGCGATTAGGCTGATCGCAGTTGTAGGTCTGGGATGACGGCAGCTGCATGCGAGCACACATTATGCGATGCACAGTGTACTGCGATGCACTGCCAGTTGCTGTGACACTGCTTATCCCCACCGATCTCACCTCATAGGTGACACAACTGAGGGCTCCATCATCAGGTAGGATTGCAGCGATTCGTATACCCACCTCGAAGTCGGAGAACCACACTGACGACAATAGAGTCTATGTGCAGACCGATGGTTTCCGAGGGACGGTGGCGTGTCAGCCTGCTGGGTCGTTTACGCTACTCATCCACGCAGCCTTGCAAGCTGTTGCAATCACACGGTATGTGTCAGGGCAGCACCATACAATGAATCGGGAAACCTGCATGATGGGGTGCCTGCCGCTGGGCCATCGGATACGAGCCCCATACGCCCGCCTCGTGATCGCATATGATAGCGTCTGCTCCGCAAGAGGGGCGACAGTAGTGGCGCCGAAACAGCGGACCAGAGCAGGTCAGCACGAAGTTTGATCACGACATTGGGATTTCGCTGCAGGCGATTCCAACCATCTTTGGCATACGGGAAGTGCGCTGAGGATCACACCAAAGTGGCCGCGGATAGCAGCAGTAAATGAAGTATTCGTAGCATTACGAGTATTCACAGTATTCGTAGTATGAAAATAAGATGAATAGAACTAGTACTCATAGTATTAATACGATTCGCAGTTGAATGGTATTAATCGTATTAAACGTATGAACAGTATTAACAGGTTGGTCGTATTATAAATACCATTAATAGTAGTACTAGTGGTACTAGTAGTATTCGTAGTAGTAGTAGTAGTAGTAGTAGTAGTAGCAGCAGTAGTAGTAGTAGTAGCAGTTGTTGTAGTAGCAGTAGTAGTAGTAGTAGTAGTAGTAGGAGTAGTAGGAGTAGGAGTAGGAGTAGTAGTAGTAGCAGTAGTAGTAGTAGTAGTAGTAGAAGTAGTAGTAGTAGTAGTAGCAGAGTAGGAGTAGGAGTAGTAGTAGGAGTAGGAGTAGGAGTAGTAGTAGTAGTAGTAGTAGTCGTAGTCGTAGTCGTAGTCGTAGTAGTCGTAGTCGTAGTAGTGGCAGTCAGTGGCAGTGGCAGTGGCAGTGGCAGTGGCAGTGGCAGTGGCAGTGGCAGTAGCAGTAGCAGTAGCAGTAGCAGTAGCAGTAGCAGTAGTAGTAGTAGTAGTAGTAGTAGTAGTAGTAGTAGTAGTAGTAGTAGTAGTAGTAGTAGTAGTACCAGTAGTAGTGCTCACTGTGACAAGGTCCTTTGAAAGCATCGACCGGTACCAGCGTGGTTGTTCGTGCAGCAGCACGCACATGTAAAGACTGCGTAGGCCCGTAAGCAATCTCTGAAATCCAGATCTTGTGGTGCCGCGGTGTAGTGTTTTGGAATTCAATCAAAATGCAGCTTACGGGCAGTCTTCTGAAGGCGGGCAGTGCTGGACCTGGCACTGGCTCTGGGGGCTCTGTGCACATCATTGCGGGGTGGAGGCCTTAAGGACAAGGCAGAGCTCTACTTAGAAGGTTGTCGCAGGAGCTCGGGTCGTGATATTTTGTCAGTCAGGCCCACTGGCTTCGTGCCAGCCGGAGAGGGATACGAGGTTGACTTCGAGGCTGCTGCGCAGTGCAGCGATTGCATTCGGGGCATGCTGGAGTGCGTGTTGAATGATGCGCAAAGACCCACCGAGAAAATTGCAAGCCCATGTCTGCAGCATTACGATGCCGCTGCAGAGGTCGCCGCCCCGCTAGCACAGAAAGCAGGGTCTTCCGGCTACAAGCCTGTGTGGGGATGAGTATCTTGGCTGCAGCTGAAGACTTTCTGGAGCTTGAGGTGCGCCAGTTGACTGTCAGGAATCGCCCACTTATCTGCAATGATATGTTTCACAGATGCTTCGGCACACCCGCCGTAGTGTATTGGTACTAGTATGTCCTTGAAGAGTGCCCGAAATGACCTCAGCAAAGCTTTGTGGTGGTGCAGACGCCCTTGGCAGCTTCAGAAGCATCCTGCCTTGGGAGCATCGTCCGTGGACCGGAAATTGCGGTGTGCGGAAACATGCAGATCGCCGGACGGAGAGAAGATTGACCACAATTTGAGTGCCTTCAACTCGTTGATGCCTGGATTCGGAGCAATTTGCTGCTTGCAAACGTCACGTGCAGCTATGATACCTAAGACTGTTCAGCATCCAGACGTTCTGACGGATGTGAAGCTGAGAATCCCTTGTGCCCCCTCACTTCATCGTAAGTTCTCGATAGTTCTCTTGAGCGATCGCCGTAATGGCTTCCACAGTGGCTGTGACCTTCAATGTAGATTGCTCCTGCACAGAGCATGGCCTAGATCCCAGCGCACGCAGTGCCACAGCCGGCTTGCAAAGGGTGCTTCAGCTTGCTTCAGCACTCGGCTTCTGCAAGGTGAAGAAGTATTTCTCGTCGGCTCGCACAAGAAACTGGGAGCTTGGGACCCCACCGAGGCTGTTTCACCCCAAACCTGGCATCAGAGTGTCAAGCCTTTCGTTGGACAGGCTCTTCCCTGCTCCACGTCCGCCGCGACGTTTCCACGGTGGATGTCCAAAGCTGCCAAACTGCCAAACGGAAGCAGGACCGGCTGGGACTGGACGGACTGGATGCTGAAGTTTAAGGTCTGGCATTGTCGGAGAGTTGGTCGCAGCTGCCAGGGAGTTCAATCCTGCCAATTATGGTCCGTGGATAGAGGGACTTGCGACCGTGAAGGTCCAACTCCTTTGTCTCGATGCGCCCCAGAAGCTTTTACCGTGCCTGCTGCCGCAGAGCCCTGCGCCGTCATGTACGTGTTGCTTCGAATCCACCAGAACATGAGTGTCTGCCTTTTGGAGCGTTCTTGGATGTGAGCCAGGATTGAGTTCAAGGTGGTGATCCGCGGCCCCCGTGGAAACCGCTGGGAGCACGGGGAGAATCGACTCCTTCAGGCTTGAGGGCATGCATGGGACCACGAAAGCTGTAAGGCTTCATGCCGAGGTTGTGTATCGTTGCATCACCTGCATCAGAATCGGGGTATCTTTTCCATCGCCATGTGATGCTAGTGTACAACCAGTTTGCCTGCGCTGCCTGAGGTGGAGCTGCCTCTGGCTGCCGAGGACTGGTCTATGTTGTCAAGCTCCCACCGCACAGTCTGGTTGGACGACTGCACTAGACACAGGCAAAGAAGATCGTGAGCCTGACCTGGGGAGAAGCCGGCGTCAAGGTGCGAGGAAATCTGGGAACGAGAGCACGTTCACAGCATGTGGTTGAAACTGCCGCCCGAGGCCACAAGCTTAGGGATCTGAGGGCAGATGTAGCATGCTTTGTCGCTTGCCGAAACCATGAAGGATGCTGAAGATGAAGATATTGTCGGAGCTTTGCCGACTGCCGGGGAGTTCGTTCGGGCCTTTGCTTGGAATCCTCGTTCCAGAGATTCAAGGTAACGAGAACGAAGCTCCAATGGTAACAAGAGTGTAGTGTTACACCCCGCTTGTTCTGTTGGCGGGGGGTACCCTCCAGATCATCAAAACGCCAAAGGGATTGTATATACTTACATGAATGCATACATGCATACATACATGTATGTATGCATGTACGTATGTATGCATGTATCAAGGAAGAACAACAGAAGCCGAAGTGTACATACAAGTGTAAAATAGTTATACACGAGGTGTCAACAATTGCGAAAGGTGTAAGCAGCGTGTGCCAAAATTGATCCCCAAATCGTGATGGAGCACCACGGCGACCATGTCGAACAGGAAGACCACGACGATCACAACCAGCACCTGGACGACCATGACGGACACCACCACCAGCCCCAAGAGACCACCAGGAGACCACTGGAGACCACCAATATCCACCAATACTCGCCGGGATGTGCTGGCGGGATTCAGCGATCTTTAGGCACATACCACACAGCTTCCTCGCCTTGTTTGGTGCGATCTGGTGCGATTCCACCATGTGCTGGCCAGTGTTCTGCAGATTCCGTTACCATGATGCTTTCTAGCCTTGTCTGATGGGTTTCGAAGGCTTTCAGGGCAACACGGCTGACATGTTTCCGCCCATGTCACGGCCTTGTCTGGCGAGATTCGAGTGTGTTCTGTGCACCGCAGCCAGATGCTCCTACCCATTTTCCCGACCATGGCAAAATCGTTCCTGCATGTACTGGCAGGGTGCAGCATAAACGGAACATTCGACCACAACGCCTCCGTGCCTTGTCTGGTCGGTTTCGAGCGTTCTCAAATCAACACGGCCAACATGCCCGTACTCGCACCGGGCGCAGACTACTAAGCGCGTGCCTCGCGCACGTCCGCACCCCTGGCACAGATGCTAAACTGTTCGAAGAGACCCCCCTAGTCTACCTACGACATGCAACACTACATGTTTGCAAGCTTTTAGCCCCCCCAGCTTGCGCGCTGGATTCGAACAGTATGGTTCCCAGGGAGAGTTTAACATTTAACAAACGCATTAGAAACACGTGCAAAATGGCTTCATCATTTCATGCCTCTGCACTCGCGTTACCTGCGCCATTTACATGTTTATGACAACCTCGCATCAAGAATCCCGCTTATTCTTTAGATTCTATCTGCATTTCATTTGCGAGGTACTGATGTGAAGCGTTCCCAGAGCTAACAGAACGACGGACTTTTTAAGTGCAGTGCGAGCCTTGATTTTGGTCTGAGTTCCGACGCACCAGCTCCCCGGGTGGTGATGGGCCCTTGTCGAAGCCACTCGGCATCAAGATAGCTGCTGTGCATTTGGGCAGCTTCGCAGTTTCAAGCAGTGGGACGCTTTCCGAGGATCATGGAGCCGGGGACAGCGATGCAAAAGCGTGGCAGCCGACACCTCTGTCGCAACAACGACGGACAAGTCAACCAGGAGATGACCAGGACAGATCCGGGGGCAAAAGCTCGGGGACGCAGATTCAGCAAACGAGGCTTTTGGCTCGTAAACATGATGCCCAGAGCAGTACTGTGGAAAACTTGCCGAACAAGAATCAAGGTACTCACTGAGATGGTGTAGGCCAGCTGACAGGAAAGCTGACACTCATTGTATTTGTAGTAGCGTCAGAAGTCATGGGCAACAGTAATGCAATCATCTATTGTGGTTGACGACGGTGACGACAGTGATTTCGTGACAATGCCATGCTGATCGATGGTGGTGATGATGATATATGATGATGAACCTCGTATTATTCAGACATGACTTTGCATGATGTGGGTGCGGACGCACGGGTGTGCAACTTCGTTATAGATTGTCTTGGTTAGCCATTGCAGGTCAGCCTGTTAGCAGGGTACGAGGACCAATGTTTTGGCGGAGCTTTGCCCGGGCTGCTTGGCAGGCCTGTCATCGGCTGCCTTTCCAATTTTTGCAATTCCTTAGAGCGCATGTGCATCCACCTGGACATCTGGGACAACGGCTTCGCCAACACAGAATCGGTTCAGCTGCTGAGCTTCGTCGGCTGGCTTCTGCACTTTTAGGAGCGTGAGGCACGCTAAAATGTCCTGAAGTTGGCCCGAGTTTGCTTTCCGGGACCGGTCGGAACAACCCAACATCCTGCGGCGTCTCGCGAAAAGTTTGATGGGAGTGGGCCAAGATTTTCCGTGCTTTCAGCGTTGTGTGGAAGCGCAGTTATCTTGCAAGGCCGATGAAGAAGGTGTTTTACGATCTTTTCGCTTGCTTCAAAGGTGACTCAGCGCAGCCACGAGGTTGGGGTTGTAAGCCTTGAGCAGGCTACAGCGCTGCGGCGGACCTGCCGCACCGTGCTTGGTATGGTAAGGCAAGTAAACGCTTCATCCTTGCCGGGTTGTTTCTTGTCGACCTATGTTGCGTGACGTCGCTGTTGCTTCGTTTGCCTGTTGACAGCTGCCTTCGACTTCTTCATTTAGGGCGTGGATTGCCTGTTGAGACGAAACGCCACTCAAGCGGTCTCTCATGACGGCTAAGACTTGGATGTCCGCACTGTGCTTTGCGTGGTGATGGCCAATGCAGATGTGCCTTACCGTTATCCACCCCGGCCCTGAGAAAAGCGAGTCGTTTCGTGAGGAGAATTCGTACATGTTGATCGATGCGCCTGGTTGCCGGGGGCCTTCCGTGTGTGTGTTTTCGGGCTGACTTGGGTCCTGAGCGGGGCCGTTGCAGAGAGCAGGCGCGGGGTCATGCTGCTGAGCATGCTGGGTTGGCCGTTCCATCTATTCTGTACTGCTTGCCTCACGTCCTTGGTTGCCAAGTTGTCCCCGAGTTGGGCTCGTGTATCCGCGGTTTGTCCTCGTGGGATAGCTTTGCGCCAGTGAATGCAGACGAAACAGTGGAAGAACAGATGGCACTCTTTGTGATGGTTCGCCCTCAGCCTAAACTTCAACATGCACCCTTGTCAAAGCGTAGCCTGGCGAGGATGTGGGTGTGAACCCAAGTCCTCCGCCTTTCGACCGTTGTTGCTGGGTTGGACGTCGAAAGGTCTCTAGCCAAAAGATTTTCTCCCTTCTCGTTTTTGCTGAGGAAGCGTCCTCCATCGCCGCCGGCCGGTTTATCGTCGGCGCCCGGCCAGCTGCCCTCTGCACGTGTTTGTGCAACATGGCCGTCAATAGCTTGTTAGCTACTGGGTGGCGGCCACATGAGCACCTGACAGAGTCCGACGAAAGTGCCAAGGATTGCTACGATTGCTGCCGCTCGACTGACCCTTCTTTTACCGCATAGAGGGGGGCCTTCAAGCCCCGTGACTTGGAGCAACATCCTTGTTTACGGCCGGAACCGGATCACGAAGATGGCGATGATATGGTGACGGGAAACGCAAACTCCATAGTCGCATGGGTTATCGAACTGTCGAAAGTTTTCGCCATGTTCCACGCAGTCCTTGCAATTGGCTTTAGAGCTAAACAAACAAAGAGCTGTCAATATGCCTCCGTGCCGCCTATGCTGTTTAGTTGATTTTCGTCGCAGGTTTTCCTCATTGCTTGTGAGGCTCCTGTCTTGTTGGGTGCACGAGGCTTGGTTCGACCCAGCCGTGCCCGCCTTGTCCCTGTCGTCAGCCTTAATTTGGCTATGCTCAAGCTCCTTTGGTAGAAGAGGGCTATGTCACTTGTGAAGGAGGCCGAGCTATTCGCTGCTCAGTGTTGCGGTCGAGCTCAGTGTTGTCGTCGTCGGACCGTTGCAACCTCTCTTCTGGCTGTTTCTTTCCGTTCGTGCGCTCTGGCAAGTCTAAACTGCGCCGACTTACTGTCTCGGCCACAGAAATCGCACGCAGCCGGATTCGTACGCTGTACGCTGCTTCCGAGTAGATTTATGCCGGACATGATCGCCATGATCGCCTCTGTGGGTTCTCAACCGATCGGCGTCGTTTTCTTGTGTTTCAGCTGTGTGGCTCCGCCTTGCGGCGGCTGAGAAGCCGTACATGCGTCCAACGGCTTACGTGCTGCCTCTTGTGCAGCTGGAGCGGGTGGTAGGACGTGCATGCCCAACGGAGCAGACAGATCCCCAATCTGTCCTAAACCGAAACAGATCCGATCAAGATCAACAACCGTGCGTTCCAGATCGAGTATGACATCATTTGAACGATTGAGATCTCGGATCAAAATCTCGCACACCAGGATATGTCAGTTGGTATGACCCCCGAGTCGTTCCTTCCGTTATGTGCCTGTGAATGTGCTTGCATCTTCGTGTTTCGCCCACCTGGAGCCTACATCAACTATGATCTACCCTTGGTCAGCGATTTGTGCTTGCGTCATCAACTTGGTTCGTGTCGTGGAATGCTTCGGCATGACTGTTGGTAAGAGCTCTGGTCTTCCTACCGCGATTGGTGCACTTTGCACGTTCCACGGATAAACTTGACTTGTCCTTGTATTGACTTGCGCTTGTATGTATGACTTTGAAAGAAGCAAGTTGGCTTGCGCTTTGGTTCGTGGCTTGCTATGTGCATGGGTAAGACATGGGTGGTCTTCCAACCGCGACTGGGGTCCCGGGGACCAAATTGAATTGGTTTTCATGTTTTTTTTATGTCTGTTAAGGGATAGACGCAACTTGGCTTGCAAACACATGAAGTCATGGCCCAAGCAAGGCCCTCGACGTCGACGTGATTTGGCAGTCCCTGCACCATCGTGTGCAGCTGGGTTGTCACAGTACGAGGACCTTGGCCCGTCACGACCAGACGACGCGACATCCTAGCGATCGACACTTCCAGATGCCTGCAAGCATTCAGAATACTCCTGTGTGTGTCATCCTTGTAACCAAGCAGGCGGCCAGGAACCAATACCACCCGTCCTGGCCAACGAAGACCGGGCGATGTTGGGGTGAAAGCGTACCTGCAGAGGAGGGGTGAGCTTGCAGCTGGGAAGGTCACGAACGAGGTGCCTTGGCCCCTGCAGGGGCAGCTGAAACGGGCACCATGCCTCAAGAAATTTGCTCATGGCTGGGCAGTCATGTTGTGCAAAGATCAGTACGAAGCCTCGAGACCCATCAAGAAGCAAAGTGACCAGAGCAAGAAGAAACAACAGACCTGCGTCACCGAGAACATTCCAGATCATGGGATATGATGCAGGTGTGTCTTCAGTGTGACCTTCTTTTCTTCTGGTCGCCAGCTGAGTGAAGGGAACGGTAGCCTTCACCATCCCGACTTCACAATGACCCAAGTGAAGCTTTTGAGTTTCTTGACTTTCGAATAACTGTGTTTACTTGGTTGTTAGCTGTCTTTATGTGTTTGTTGTTTGTGTATTTGTCCTGACTGGGTGTCATTTGTCGCGAGTTGCCTCCCATTGCTTGTACTTGCTTCTCACTTGCTTTGTTATCGCTTCTTAAAACTTTCACTCGTGCTTATTTGCTCCTCATTTTTGTTCTTCATGTGCTTAGATTTTTGCGTTTGCCTTCATTTTGTTTTATGTGTTTTTATGTGCATGGTTGTACATATTAACATTGTTGTGTAACACACTTGTGTGTGTGCTAGGACAAGCCGGCGAACGTCGATCCCGCAGCTGCCTTTTGGGATCGACGTCGCCCGGCTTTCAAGCCTTTTCCGTTAGCCTCCTCTCGGCGCCATGTCCTCGGCGTCGTCTAACATCTCGATTGAGGAGTGCGCGGCGGAGCTCCGGAGGGCCCTGGCGGACGGTGTGAACCTGGCCCCTGTTTTCCGCTGGAGCACACTTGAACGCAATGTTCTTGTGGCCCAGCTGTCGGCGGCCGGCACAACCTGGTCACCCGTGCCGTTCCATGCGCCCCCGGAGGCTCCTGGGCAGATGACGGCGGCAGGCAGCCGCGGACCCGGCGGCGATGTCAGATCCCTCCCCGGAGCCCCCTTCTGAGCATGACGCGTCTTCGGCGACGCAGAGGGCTTCCGCCTGGCGCACCGGCGAGTGCAGTCCTACCCGCAAAGCCGGAGAGGCCACCGCCCAAGGCGCCCCCGGCGGCGGTGCCCAAGGAGCCTTCCTTTCCTCCTCCACGGGCGCCGGATCCTACTTCGTCCTCGGCGATTTCTTCCTTGAGACCGCCCCCCGCTACGCAGACGCGTATTACCAGCCCGGAGAAGTGCCGTACAAGGCCGGCCACTTCCCGGCAGAAGCCCACGTCCGTCCAGGGACCCGGGGCAGGAATGGTTGGGGCTTCGTCGTCCGCATCGGCGACCGGGTCTTCTACGATGCCGGCCACGCATCGGAGGAGGTCCAGACCTTCAAGGCACAGCGGGCGTTCATTTACGTCCTCGAGGTCTTGGCGCAGGTGCTGGCGCTGGTGACCTTGGCCAGGATCTTGCCGGCACGGTGGATGGCCTTCATCGACAACGTCGCCGGCCAGTTCTCGCCCTCTCCAAGAGCTACGGGCAAGGACGAGACGGTGAACGGCGTCATCGCGGCCTTTTGGTCCACGGCGGCGCTGTGCGAATGGCTCCCGGACTTCCGGCGGGTCCCGTGCAAGGCCAACATCGCGGACGCTGTGTCCCGCGGCGACCTTGAAACAGCACGGCGCATGGGCTGGACCAGAGCCGAGACACCGACTGCGGCCATCCCGGCGGTCCTTCAGAGGTCGGCGATGGACATCGGCTATGCCATCCACGGGGCGGCGGACGACCTGCTCAACCTGGCTTGCTGATGGGGCTGAGCCGGCGCAGTGTGGGGGTAGGGGAGCGCCGGGCGGGTAGCTGAAGGCGTCCCCCGGCGCCGGCTAGCCTAGCGGCCTAGCTTTGCGTTGGCGACGGGTCCGGCGCGATGCGCTTCAAACCACCTCGGAAGAAAAGGTGCTTAGCCCGTCGTACCGGTTTGGCTTTCGGCGGTAGCACGGCTTGTCGTGTAACATTCAATTGTGTGTGCTAGGACAAGCCGGCGAACGTCGATCCCGCAGCTGCCTTTTGGGATCGACGTCGCCTGGCCTTCAAGCCCCGCCCTCTCCACCCTTTTAATATTTATTCAATTTTGTGGACCGTCGGGCGCTGGCGGGCGGCGGGCCGGGTAGCTGAAGGCGTCCCCCGGCGCCGGCTAGCCTAGCTTTGCGTTGGCGACGGGTCCGGCGCGATGCGCTTCAAACCACCTCGGAAGAAAAGGTGGTTAGCCCGTCGTACCGGTTTGGCTTTGGGCGCAAGCACGGCTTGTCTTTGTTTGTTTTTAAGTGTCCTCATTTATCTGTATTTGTTATGATTTTACTTGGCCGTTTCTGTGTGTTTTGTTTGCTGGTATTTGTTTTTGTCTTCGTGTGCCTTGAGTTGCATCTGTTTGTGTCTGTTTATGTTTGTGTGTCTTTGTTTGTCGTTAATTGTCAATAGTCATCTTTATTGTGATTAGTTGCTTTTTTGTCTCTGTATGGCACCATGCTTATCCAAGGATCGAAGTCCTTCGAAGATGTAGTGGCGGTGGTGACGGTGGCGGTGGTCGGGGTGGTAGTGGCGGTAACGACAACACGGCAAAGATGATGATCTTGGTCGTGGTGGTGGTGGTGACGCTGATGATGAGCATTTCTGCTCCAGTGCAGGACGCCCAGTTTACTATTGATCAATTTCGAGAAGTTCAACGAGGAAGCAGCACGTCACGAGAAGGACCGGGTGCTGCCAGCAACAAATGCCCAGTTGCGATGTCACAGTTTTGAGGTTTCCTTTCACTGAGCCAACCTCGTCGGCAAGTTTTGCCAAATAGCCAGTTTTGGACATTTTTGGGTTCTTCCCGGCTCCAGCGAACCTGTGGCAGCCAGTGTCGTCCTTGGGAGCTTGTACTCCATGATTTTTGCTGAAGGAGCTCGATGCTATTGAAGAACGTGCACAGTTGAACAGGACCGATGCGGACCGCAGTTTGTCTCCGGTCAGCGTTCAAAGTGGTGGTGGTGTGAAAGCCATGTCGCCAGGCTCCAAAGGAAGATGAAGAGCACGCATCTGATCGTCACTTGTCATGGTGGTCACTATCAACTATTCAGCAGTTTTGAGTATGCTTGCGGAGGAACGTTGCATATGGCATTAGACAGCATATCGTACCAACTGAAGCGGTACTTCGGGTTGCTCGCCAGATTTCGTCAGTAACACCCTCATGTTTGTTAACTAATAACAGAAGCTGATGAATATGCCTCCGTTTGTCTATCTACCTGCGTTTCATTTGGGAAGTGGGTCTGTCTGCCCGTCTGTCTGTGTGTCTGTCTGTTTGTTTGCTTGCTTGTCCGTCCGTCTGCGCGTATGTACCGGCGTCTCAGAAGGCCGAACCGGTCCCCAGTTGGCTTCTTTCAGGGGGCTGTGTAGTCGATGTGCGAGGCCCTTGTAGCCCCGTCGAGGAGTTTCACCATGAATCTGTCATGCAATAGGCACGTCTTGCGGATACTCTGCCGAATGAGCGTGTACGCATGCATGTATGTATGTATGTATGTATGTATGTATGTATGTAGGTAGGTATGTATGTAAATAACAGCACACACACACACACTATACCAGTACATGTGTAGCAAATGCCCTGCCTTTCCAACTCAGGAGCGCATGGCTAAGATCACAGAAGCTTGCCGTCGATTCTGATTGCTTGTTCTGTGCAGGATGCTTCTGTGGTTTTGCCCAATCAAAACAGGTACTTGTGCGGATTTGTTCGTCCGACAGCATCCGATGTTCTGAGGATACTGTGGATTCCTCGAAGATGGTCCTTCTGCAAGGTGCGAGGAAAAGCAGCATATCCGCCCTCATGTGTCACGGGCATCCCAAGATCCTGCAGGCTTCAACTGGGAGAGCTGGCGGTCTGGTGGAGGCGACTGGTACAGTGCTTCTTGGTTTATCGATGACTGTGTTGTGCATGTTGCGGGGTGACCCTACTTGGGTCATGTCGGTCGTTCTTGCGATGCTAAGGTCATTGGAAAACGGATCCAGATGTTGCATGACATGGGCTTCACAGATCTCTGGTTGCCGCCGTGCTCACAGTCCGTGGCGCCACAGGCAGTTCTCACGTAGGTTTTGGGCCGGTGAACGTGTTGACTGTGCAAAATGGTAAGCGTATGCAGATAGCGGCTGTATGGATTGGAGTGGAGCGGAAGCATCGTAACTTGCCCAAGACAGACTTCTGACACGCCGAGTCGGGAGGGCTACCTGCCGTCTCAGCTCTTCAACCTGGATGGGTCCAAGTACGGTTCCCAAGCGGCACTGGAAACCCTGCTGGAGAAGTGCCACAAGCATGGCATTCGCTGCCTGGCCGACATCGTCATCAACCACAGGCTCTTGGGGATCCTGAGCTCAAGTACCCCAGAAGTTTGTTGAGACAGGTGCGGGGACAAGCAGGACAGCCAGGGCCGGTGGAACCAGTTCTCCAGTGGGATGACGACCAGGCTTCATGGATTTCTTAACTTCGTGGGTCAAGATTTAGCTTCGCTAGGCGTCAAAGCAAGAACCGGTCTGCGTCACGAGAATCACTAGAATTTACTCTCCGGCGAGGCCGAGCTTCGCAGGTGTTGGTGATTGGGGCGGCTGGGCCATCACCCTTGGGGACCAGTACTCCGACGGGAGTGGACTCGTGGACTTCAATTAGCGGCGACGGCGCCATGATGTTGGGTTATTCCTCCGGCCTAAGGAATGCATGCGCCCGGCAAAGCTGACGGAAAGTTCGATGCCGCGCCGGACATCGACCATCGGAACCCGAAGGCACTCGGGAGCAGTTCCTGGGATGATGTTCTTGGTCCCGAGAGCCCTTGACGAATCGCTTAATTTTGGCCATCTACCAGGTCCAGGACAGCATCAACATCTGGCTGAGATGGCTTCGACTCCAGGCCAAGAGTAAACAGGAGGCGCTTGCTGGAGTCGCATCTCTTGCAGGTTGGTTTCGATGGCTGGCGCTTCGACTTCGCCAAAGGCTATGGTGCTGAGTTCGTTGGCAACTGGGACGTGCTGTTTGTTTCTTCGCCATCTGCGTTTACTGTGGCGTAGCCAGTGAGGCCACCAACTCCTGACCTGTGCTCGAATTGATGACCCAGGCCGCTACTGCTCAAAGAGCCATCCCGCCTGGGCTGTGGGGGAACTCTGGACGGACATGCACTACGACCACCATGGGCTCTGTGTGCGGCTAAGACACCTTCCCTTCTTCGAGCAACCACCCCCTTCCCCCTCGTAGCAGCAGCAGCAGCAGCAGCAGGTGGACGAGCAGTAGTCGTAGTCGAAGTCGAAGTAGTGGTCGTGGTCGTGGTCGCTGTCGTGGTCGCGGTCTTAGTCATTGTAGTGGTGGTGGTACTAGGAGTGGCAGTGGCAGTGGCAGTGGCAGTAGCAGTAGCAGTAGTAGTAGTAGTAGTAGCAGCAGGAGTAGTAGTAGTAGTAGTAGTAGTAGTAGTAGTAGTAGTAGTAGTAGTAGTAGTAGTCATAGTAGCAGTAGCGGTAGCAGTAGCAGTAGCAGTAGTAGCAGCAGCAGCAGCAGCAGCAGCAGCAGTAGTAGTAGTAGTAGTAGTAGTAGTCGTAGAAGTAGTAGTAGTAGTAGTAGCAGTAGTAGTAGTAGTAGTAGTAGAAGTAGTAGTGGTAGTGGTAGTAGTAGCAGTAGTAGTAGTAGTAGTAGTAGTCGCAGCAGTAGTCGTAGTAGTAGTGGTAGCTCTAGTCGTAGTAGTAGTAGCAGTAGTAGTAGTAGTAGTAGTAGTAGCAGTAGTGGAAGTAGTAGTAGTGCAGTAGTAGTAGTAGTAGTAGTAGTAGTAGTAGTAGTAGTAGTAGTAGTAGTAGTAGTAGTAGTAGTGGTAGTAGTGGTGGTAGTAGTAGTAGTAGTAGTAGTAGTGCCCGCAAAGCGCAGAGCACGCTCGCGCAGCGTTCAATTGAAAAAAATAGTACTAGTAGACTAGTAGTAGCAGTAGTAGTAGTAGTAGTAGTAGCAGTAGCAGTAGCAGTAGCAGTAGCAGTAGCAGCAGTAGTAGTAGTAGTAGTAGTAGTAGTAGTAGTAGTAGTAGTCACAGCTTCTGAACAGGTTATCCTCTGGACCAATCGATTCAGAGCGCTCGGGAAGGTGCCATGGATCTTCGCCCCGATCCTGAAGGTCGCGACTGACAAGGATGCCACATGGATGGACATCACCCAGGCGCGGCTCATGGTCGGAGCCAATGGCCAGTTCACCCTCTCTATAGGTCAGGACAGCCGCTACAATGAGCTCAAATCTACCACGGCGTACTATGGCATCGTGCACGCCTTGTTCCAGAAAATGTGGGACCACGTGGACATGAACGCCGTGCTCGAGACGGATGAGAACTTTGAGATCGTGGCATCCACCTTCAAGTGCATCTACGACCAAACCTCCAGGAAGAGCGGAGGTCAAAATCGCGCCATCTTCTATCAGCCACGAGATGGACAAGTTGTCCGCAAGCTCAGGATTGAGCACAACAAGGGCGACACTGCAATCTACCAATGGCATCGTCAGCGAGAGCAGCGCGACAAGCGCTCGGGGGAGGAGACACAAGCTCACACCGACAAGCGTTATCGTGACGGTGACGCCTGGTCTCGTGGCGGCTGGTGGAACCGCGGCTCCGACTCTGGCGCTAGCGGCAGCCGCTCCTGGCATCAGTGAGCTTACTCCACCAACTGCGGGTGCCAATGGCAATGCACAGAGCTAGCTGCGGAGGCACTGCCCACTTTCTTCGACTTGTCGCACATCTCTTCCCAGGCAGACTGATGGCCTTTCTGCATGAAGCCGTCGCTGTCAGCCAGAAAAACAGGTCAGTGCCAACAGTCATGCTGCTGCTAGCCGCACTGCCGGAAGCACGCCCCCACGAGCATCAGTCATTGTCTCGCTCTTCAGGTACAACCGACAGAATGGAGCTCGGCATCAAGCGGCCTGCAATCACACTCCAGCTGATCTTTGCCAATCAGCTAGTAGCCATGTAGGCCGCGTAGACTCCTCCACAATGGGTCTCATTTTCGTCCATTGGGCTTATCAGTCCCAAGGGTCTGAGTCAGTTTCACACCAAGTGAGTGCACCGCGGCAATCGCCCGCAATGTGCTGAGCCCCCTCGCACAGCGTTCAATTGAAAAAAATAACAGTAGTAGTAGTAGTAGTAGCAGTAGTAGTAGTAGCAGTAGTAGTAGTGGTACGTAGTGGAAGTACTAGCAGCGGCAGTGGCGGTGGCTGTGGCGCAGTGGCAGCGGCAGCGGCAGTAGCAGTAGCAGTTGCAGTAGAAGTAGCGGTAGCAGTTGCAGCAGCAGTTAGCACTCAGCAGTTTGCAGTTAGCAGCCAGCAGTCGGCATTAGCAGTAGCAGCAGGGGTAGCAGGTAGAAGCTAGCAGGTAGCAGCTGGCAGCTAACAGCTAGCAAGCAGCATTTCGGCAACAGTAGTAGCAGTAGCAATGCATACATGTGTATATACCTACATACATACATACATACATACATGTATATATATATATACATATGCACATGTCTATACATATATGTATACGCATGCATGTATTTGTTGTGTATATAATCTGTATATACATATATGTATGTGTATATACATGGAGACATCTGTCTCTCTCTCTATACATATATATATATGTATACACCTTATACATCTATATGTACATGTATATATACATATGTTTAGTATGTGTGTACCAACATGTATATATACATATATATATATAGTTAGATATTTTGCTTTCTCGTTATGTATACCAGCGTTTATATATGTATATATAAACATACATTTAAATCCATTTACACTTTCAATTTCATATGGTGATTGTCGTGTAGCACGTTTTTGGGTGTGCGAAGTGACAACTTTTGCCTATCTTGCTTACACCGATCGACTCACGAGGATCTGCGCAGGTCGATCGACACGAACATGTTCATGTCCGTGGCCAGTTTGGTATAAGATCCGATCTCGAAATCTGGAAAAGAAGTCCGAACCGGCCAAGGATTTATCACCTAAGCTTTGTTGTCATGATTGCTCTTATTACGTTTAGCATAAGTATTAGTTGAAGTATTCGTATTCGTACTCGTTCTCGTGCTCGCAGTCGTACTCGTATTCGTATTCGTGTCAGTATTCGTATTGGTGTTAGTATCAGCATTAGCATCAGCATTGGTGATAGTAAGTGGGTTAGCATTAGTACCACGATTAGCAAAGTTACTGATATCTGCAGATCCTTTGTCCAGCATCTTAATTCTGTACATATGTTTGTTTGTATATCAAGATATGCGAAGCGCTTTTCAGATTTACACGTGCCTACACATACCATGAGGCTACAACCAAGACAAGCATCGTCAAGCTTTGGTGGACTGGGTGAATGCCACGGGGAAAAAGTCGACGGCCTTCGACTTCACTACGAAGGGAATCCTGCAGGAAGCCTGCAGGCTGACGCAGTTCTGGAGGCCTTGCCCACCTACGCATCCGTTGTCGCATGTATTTTCTAGGTACATAATCGTACGTACGTCTGTCCATCCTTCCGTCTGGTCGGTTCGACTGGTCTGTCAGTCGGTCTGCTGTGTTTGTCTGTGATTTGGCCCGTCCGTCCGTCAGGCTGTCTGTCCGTCTGTCCGTCTGTTCGCCGGTATGTCTGTCCGTCCGTCCGTCTGTCCGCCTGTGTGCCTGTAGGTAGGTCTGTTCGTCTAGTCTGTCCGTCTGTCTCTCTTTCTGTCTGTCTGTATGCATGTAACTATGTAACTATGTATGGATGGGTTGAGCGAGTTCCACCCGTTCCTAAGATCAACAATGACCGACACAATTCCAGGTTGCGTGACTGCAACGGGAAGCCACCCGGACTGATTGGCTGGCTTCCGCCGCCCAGCCGCTTTCATGACTCCGTGCACTTAGTGATTAGTGACGATTGTCGGTCCCTGCACCTCATGTCTGGTTGGGGAGCCAGCAAAAGCTTAGGGGATATGCAGTGACTTTCATCGACAACCACGACACGGGCAGCACGCAACGACACTGGCCCTTTCCTGACGACAAGGCTTGCCACAGACAAGGAAAGTCTGACGCAGCAGGAGATATATTGTGTTAGGTGATGATGGGCTATGCCTACATCTTGACACATCCAGGACACGAGGGCTTGGCATTACGAGTACATCAGTTTTGTGACAAAAATCTGCACCAGAGTTCAGCAGGAATTCCGTCTGTATTCTGGGACCACATCATGGACTGGGGTGACGAGCATCGCAAGAAAATTGCATCATTGCTCAAGGCCCGACGAGATTCAGGCCCGGCGTAAACCATGCTTCGGTCTTTCTTGCAGCGCCGCAAGGTCGCAGACTTGTATGCTGGACATGCTGGTAGTTTTGCTTGAGATGTGTGTTCGCGAGAGGCATTCCTGTGGATGCCCCGGTGAACATTCAGTGCGCCGACGATACCTTGTACTTGGCCGAGATCGGCCAGCCACCAGCACTACGTGTCGCACTTGGCCCACGTCCAGCTGGCCAGCCAGACATGACAGCCGGTGATCTACATAGCCAATCATCTACGCAATAAGCCTTTGTGCAACAGAGTCTCTCCTGCTTCGTGTATTGACGGAGAGCACAGTTGCAAAATGAATCAACATGAGGCAAATTGAGCGAGCAACCTTCTCGTTTGTGGCATCGCAGGAACTACTGGTCGCACGGACCGAATGGCCATGGCTACCGTGTGTGGGTGAAGAGGACCGCGACACCACAGGCCCAGCGAGAAATCAGCAAATCGATCTCCTGCATCATGTACCGACTCTGCCACATAAAATTGGAGCTGGTTCTCTGCTCAGGTCTACACGTCTCTTGGTCCGACTCCAGAGGCTCCAGCTTGTCATCAAGTTCGATCTTCAAGAGAAAGCTCTGTTAACGCAGTGGTACATCCAAAAGCCCACAGGTGATGATGACAGCAATATAACTCCAAAGCCTGTACCTTATGACAGCAACGTTGATCTGCATTGGAGAAATCGGAGACACTAGCAGTGATCAAACTTGTAAGCAGTAATTGCATTAGTCCAAGACTGATAGTGCTCTCCTCCTTTGCCACTGACATCATCAGAAGTTCCGACTGATACCGGTTGTCTTCCTCCTTGAGTTTTAGTTTTAAATATTCACCATCATCCCGTCGCCGTCATGTTTTGTCGTAGTCTTTGTCGTGTGCTGTCGCTCGTCGTTTGTCTCGTTGCTGCTTCTGTTGTTGTTGTTGTTGTTGCTGTAGTTGTTCTCGTCATCGTCGTGTCTCACTGAGTTGACGCCTTAACTACAACCGCAACTACAACTTAGATCGGCAGGATTTGCGGTTCGGCAACCTTGCCAACATTTTCCTTACATAAGAGTAGCAGGTCATGCACAGTGATCCGATCGCAGGTTCGATTGTTTGAGCTTTCTTTATGCGATTTTTTGGTTCTACTGATTCTCAGCTGCGATTGGCTCCATTTACTTTCTCCAAGCTCGCCTCTGTACAGTCTGGTGCCAGGGCTGATACAACACGCCCGCTATGAGCAGAGCCCACTCGCTCAGCGTCCAACAAAATCGTCATCGTCGTCGTCGTCGCAATAATGTTGGCTACCACTCGTTCTCCCAGTCCTTGTAGGCATACATTGACAGCGTTAAGATATGCACACGGCTATCACGGTAACTGTTTTGATGCTCAAAATAATCCTGTCATACTTCTTTTGCTGATTTTGCTAGTGACTCTTGTACACTGCAGCGTGGTTATAACCGTTGCTTTCTTCCGTCTGACTTATCTGCTCGGTTGTCTACAGCTGAGCAGGCTGGGGGATGTAGGTAACGATTTAACAGAGTCAGCCAATGGACGGACTGGGGCACCATTCACGACTTGTTCACTGCAGAGGCTGAGATACTTTCAAATGCCTTTCAACAAAGATGACGACATTTAGACAGGTAAAGAGAGAGCGAGACAGAGAGCGGCATACCCTTTGGGCAGCGCCTGGAGCGCAGAGGGGAAGGTCGCTGGCTCTTGCGAAAGAGAGCACGAATATCAAGATTCGACATGCTGTGAAAAACACTTTTGTTCGTAGAGAATTAAAGCCAAACAGGTTCAAGTGTCGGTCGCTACTTGCATCAAAGGGGGCGAGACGACACCGCAACGTCATCATCCCAATACCTTTGGTTGTTCCGAAAGGCCACTCCCCTGGCGTCGCGTGCGAACTCCCCGCGCTCCAGGAAGAGTGAGGCCGACCGGGAGCAAAGGGTAGTTGTGGGCCGAGCTGAAGCATTCACATACCTTACGTCTCAAGTACACGCATTTCGCTGCGGGCCGCCGGAACCTGGATGTAAGTCCAAACTTGTCAGAGCAGGTCTTGAAGGCATCAATTGCCTCCTACCCGCCGTGAAGCCAGGAGGGCCTGCGGGTCGGCACGGAAGCGCTGACGGCAGAGACTCTGCAGCCCGGCAAGCAAAGCAAAAGGAACAGTAAGCTCGGCGCTGACAGTGCTTGATATGATACTCATCATACTACTCGTTACCAGTTTCCGTAGCGAGGATCACCAGTACCAGTCGTGCGAATCATTGCCGCCACTAGCCATGAACGACGGCAGTATGCATATAGAAATCTGGATGTATATGTGTATATATGTATACATGTATATACCTTTGTGTGTGTATGTGTATGCTGTATGCGCCCATGTCTATGTGCATGCGCTCTGTATATGTACGTGTATGTGTACGGGTGCGCGTGTGCGTGTATATATATATATATGTGTATGTATATATATATATATATATATGTATTTGTATATGTATATGTATATGTATATGTATATGTATATATATATGTATATGTATATGTATATATATATATATATATATGTATGTGTATATGTGTATATGTGTATATGTGTATATGTGTATATGTGTATATGTGTATATGTGTATACGTGTATACGTGTATACGTGTATATGTGTATATGTGTATATATGTATATTCATAAACCTTTGTGTGTATAAATATACATATCCGTATACGTGTATGTATATGTATAAGTATATGTATATGTTTATGATACGAACATACATGTGTACATTTTTATATACATATGTATGTGTGTGTATATATATATATACACACAGATATAGCACCCCATCTTGTACGCGCGCCATTCTTCCTTCGAAATCGCAGCTTTTGGAAGGTATGGGTTCTTGGGATTGCCTTGTACCCACGCCCTTCGCTTAACTATTAACTCCCAGCTTCAGGACGTTGGGGAGTGCTTGCTGATCGTAACTTTCTTTCTTGTCTTGAAATGTAAAACTCTCGTCCCAGACAAAGCTAGTGCATGATCAAACGGATGAATCCTCTATGGGTTCCCTCCAAACCAGTCCCGAATCTTTTCCGAATCATTCTGATTCGGGCACGGATCCAAGATCCAAGATCTCTGGGAGGTCTTGCGCCGGCAATTTTGAATCCAGCAACCTCCCGAATCATCTGAATCATTTCCGAATCATTTTGATTCGGGCCGGGATCTGAGATACAAGATTCCCTGGCAAGATCTCTGGGCAATCTTGGATCTTGGATCCGAATCAAAAACATTCGGGAAGGATTCGGATGATGCGGGTTCCCGGCCCCCTTGCCCTTCGAATACGTTGTGAATACGGGTTGTTGGCGATTGCATTTTGTATTTCAAGCTTGTCGTTATGTGAATAGTCGCCTTCTAGTGCTCTGTAAATATCGTGCGTTTCATTACGGAAACTATCACTGGGAACGCCGCGCTTTGGGGGTTTTCTGTTTTGTTGGTGTTATTACTACTAAATTACTGTTGCTGTTGATATAATCTATCCACCATACTCTATGTGCTTGACTCTTTCATACAGTTGTCATTGTAATGATCAATCCAGTCGCTTTGATTTTGTTGTTTAGAGTTCAGACTGAAAGACTTCCAGAAGTTCGTTTAGTTCAACCTTGGCTTGTTCAAGACCAGCGTCATTGTACAACCGGGAAGCGCAGATTTCATGTTGGTGGAGATGTTTATTACCCAGTTGACAAGTCCTGGAACTTGTCAATATTCAGTCGGTCTTAGCACCAGCTTAAGAGTTTAGCGGATTGAACGGTTTCAATACGAAGTTGCTGTTGGCCCCACACATAGCAACACTCTAACATACAGGAGTGTTTAATGGCCATCATTTTGATAGGTTCGAAACTCCTCAAACGGTTCCGCAAACAATGACGAATCCTGATTCGACAGGATGGACATGACCTTCATGATGCACAGGCTGTACATGAAGTTAATTCAGAATAAACATGTCAAACTCACAGCTGATAGAAACAACGAGAAGGCGCGAACAACAATAAACTCTGTACCAAGAGCAACATAACCAAGAGGAGTACGAAGTTTAATAAACCGCCAAGGCATGTTGAATTCTCTTTGGTCTCGGCAAACAACAAACCTCTTTCAGCATAGCAGGTAGGTTTACGCTTTCTCAAACTGTGAACAAGAGTTCATACATTGACTTTATCGTGTCTGGTCAGAATGAAACTGTGTGAATAGCAGCTGTCGCGTAGTTTGCCACTTATCCTGAGTGAATCGCAGGAATGCAGTACCAGAGTGTTGAATGGACTGGTATTCCTGGAGCAACTAGAACGGTGCCTTCTAACCACAGCAGTAAAGACAGTGGCAGTGCCATTAATATTTATTGGCATATGTAGTACTGGAAATGCAGTTGATACTGGCATAGAAGAACATAATAGTACTTTATGTAGTGTATTCAGACACGACGAAGGATGGAAGTGGAGACTGGAAAGGTCTTGTACGGACACGTGCACGATCCTGCACAATTCAAGCACAATGCTTGGATTTATTGGGGAGTAGCGCATATATATATATGTATAAGTGTAAGTATTTATTGTTCAGGTGCGTGTGCACGCGCATACACATGCCCAGTATGTATGCATGCATGCATGTATGCAAGTATGTATGAATGTATGTATGCATGTGCCTTTTAGATGCCAGGAGTTTTGCAGCATTTCTCAGCGAGGGTTGCCTGTTTCGTTTTGCGTAAATCCGATTGTCGAGGTTCAGCTTCATGTGTGTGTTTCAGGAGGCCTACTGGTTTAGGGATTCGGTTTAGCTTTAGAACAAGGGGTTGGGAGTTTCAGGTTGTAGGGCCGAGGGAATCTCGTGGGAGAGGATTTAGTCAGATCCACAGGTAGCAGACAGTGTGTTGATTTTAGCTTGTCAGGTGAGGTTTATGCCCATGGCAAAGCCCCGAACTCGAAGTACATTGGAGGAAGCTGATGGATTCCAGTCAGCTGCGAAAGCTCCGTGATCGCCTGCAGGCGATGCGGATTTCAGCAACAGTCTTTGTTTGGTATTTGCACAGAAAATGCACAAATCGTGTTCTAGGGGGCTTTCAGTGTCGGGTTGTTAGGGTTCGCCGTGTTCTGGCATCAGAAGTCTTGCGCTCTTCGTTGCTGCCGGGTTTGACACTCAGAAAACTACAGCCTGTGACAGAGTTGGGCGAAAGGCGTCGGAGTAAGCGGCGGTTGACGGGCGGCGGGCGGCAGCACGCAATTACCAAGCAATGCCATCGCACAGCTCTTAGACCTGGCCAGCCGTCAAGAGCACACTGTGAGCACGTGACCGCAACTTGTCAGGCCATGCTTCAAGCCACGGAGACCGCTTTGGAGATGAAAAGGACTGCACCACATCCCCGTTCTTTGCTGGCGATTTCTGCTGGAAGTCACGTCTGCGGCATGTTTTTGTTTGCACCAGCCATAGCCTTACAGTGGAATGTGTTTGCATGGAGGCGCTAGTCCGTCAGCCCGGAACCGGCGAAAGCTCTGCAACAAGAGGCACCCGAGAAATGTGCGTGCCCCAGAAACGGGGCTCCAGCGCATGACCGCTCCGATCATTCACTTCACACTCTCTAGTGACTCTAGTAAGTAAGCTTGCAGTCGGCAGTGTAGCTTTATGATGCAATAGCAAGCGACGAGCTGTATAATTCTTGAGATGTGTGGGATGCTGCCCCAGCACCTGGTCTGGCTGCCGGATTGGCAGTGACCGTTATGTTCTGTATTCCAAGGCTACAGGGCCACGGGCGTCTCTGCACGTTTCTCGTAACCAGGCCTCAGGACGAACTGGAGCACATGTTGAAATGTTGTTGCCGATCCAGGGGCGATCCAGCTAGGGCCGCTTTCGGCCAAGATGCAAATCTTGTCGGCTACAGTGGGTAGGCAATGCTGCTCCGCACCCTAAATTCCAAGCCCTGGACTCGTGACCCCAAGCCCTATTGCGTGTTTATGCATGGCTCATGAAGTTGTGGTCTGCCAAGTCGTAGCTGAGCCAATGATATGTACAAGTCTAGGTTCCAAATCGTAAAAGAGATGATAGGCTTGCTGCTTCTAGCCATGGGCATTGCAAGCGTGCTAACAGCAATGAGTACTGACGGAAAGACTTTCTGTTGCGAAGCGATTGCAGTCTTTCTGCAAGGTCAACTTTGACCTGCGCTGCAAACTCTTTTCGGACGATGCAGCGTATCAGCGATGCACAAACACGTCCCACAGTAGCTCGCTTTTGAAGCCTTTTTCTCAGTCGGTAGCCTTGTTTCGCTACCACTACCTGTTTCGCACTGGGATGGCTGTGAAAGCCACGACCTATCCCACTTTCAACAGCACAGCGGGCTGCACCAAATCAACAATGGAACGCTGTCTGTGAAAAGCTCGCAGAAGCGGAAGTTGCTTCCCAGAGCCTAGAACTTAGAACAGAGGGTGACTTCGCTCACAACATGCCCTTTGGTGTATTTCTTTGTTCTTCAACTGTGCACGTGTTGGGTTTCATTGCCGCGACAGGAAGCCGATGTCGTAGTCCCACTCTGCCCAACTATCTGATACACGACCATTGTCATTACAGTTGTTTTAAGTAGCAAGTAGCCTGTGTACAGGCTATGCTTGTGTTTCAAAGGCCATCAGGACAAGTTCCGCCCGCGCTTCCACAAAGGTGCACGGCTCATTGTTTAAGCTGCTCTGCGCAGGGGCTTCCAGCTGATTCCATAGTAGGAAGCAACCCCTAACATCTTCGTGGATAGTAGAATCACAATGCGCAGCGCGTATGCGCACAGGACCTCACACCGAAAGCATGTTGGGACTTTCTCACAGCAATGAGAAAGGATCTGCTGTTGGCCCCGGCAGCAAAGGTGTCGTAGCTGACTTCCTTGAAACGCAGGTATGTAGCCGTAAGGCTTGTAGGATTTGCCGCGACCTCGCCCAACACTCCCAATTCGCAGCACAAAGAGTGTGGCAGGAGCTTTGTTGCATGACTTTTCTTGTTCCGAGTCTCAATGCTAAGCAGCTGAATCAGAGAAGGTTGGGAACGAGAGTCATCAGGTGCTGATCCTGATCTTTGGCTTGCCTTCGTCGGTTTATGTTTGCCTCCGACCGTTGTGCTGAACACATCGGGTATTTGTGCATGCTTTGCTTTTTCGCAGCCCTGACTTTCCAAGCAAAAATACAGCAGAATAAAACGTTGGCAGTGCCCTCGCCCCTTTCAAAGCCTTGTGGAAGACTAACGGTGTAGCCAAGTTTACCGGTCTGCCGTGCCGCTGCAATGCGGGTGAAAAGACACAAGAATCATCGACGCATCCTGCGCTTCTTCCGCCTGACATTTGGCATCCAGGCCCGCTGATGGCAGGGAGGGGTGGCGAAACACGGATTGGATTATTTTGGAAGACAGTTTCTAGCAGCAGCGTCTTCAGAGTTTCAGTTGATAGATTCGGATGTGTGGCCGATGGCGTTCTGCGTTGAGTGTTGTGAGTTTTGCTAAGTTGCAGAATCGGCAAACGGAAGAGCGTCTAGAGAAACAGCTCATACTTGCCAGACTAATGTGTTGACGCCTGACTGCCTGCCCGAATCCATCGGGAGTGAAGCTGTCACACTGCCGCTGCAATGTTGCCTTGGTCTTGGAGCGGTAGGAGCCGTATCATGTTCTGGTGGACGGCACCTTCCTCACCCACGCCCTGCAACAGCGGATACATGTCAAGGCGCGGATCCTGAACAGTCTTTTCAGCCTGAACAGTCTTTTCAGCCTCATGACCATAAGCATGATGATTTTGATACTGATGTTGAGGATGATGATGGCCTGCATCAGTGTTAGTGTCCTCCTCGACATCAGCATCGTCGTCGACAGCACCAGCCTCATCATCATTTTCATCATCCTCATCGTCATGATTGCCATCATCATCATCATCAGACGGGAGTTTTGCACCTTCAAATCACGAACCAAGGGCAGTTTCTGATATCCTCGGCGGCATGTAGCGGCAACGGCACCACTGCCCTTTCAGGCAGGGGTCATCATGCATAGATATGCTTTTCGCGAGAATCGCCTCCAAAGGCTGTTTTCGACACATCAGTCTTCAGAAGTTCAAGCTAGCAGACGCAAGGGTACTTTCTTAACGCTGGTTGAGTAGCACATTTATGTGCGAAGGGATATGCAGCACAGAGCTCCGGGCAGCATGTCTGTTGAAATTTTGATTTAGCTCCGTTAGGCCAGCCCTTGGCATCTTGTAAAGGGCGAGAGCTTTGGGCACCGAGCCAGGTGCTGCGCTGGTTGGAAGAACCAGTGCAGCCGAGCTGTGACATCTTCGAGTGTGGTTTCGAGCCGGTTTGACATATTCTGCGCGATACTTGGGTTCATGCATGCACTCAGGACCGCGAGAAGATTGCCCGCTTGCTGGACTTGTAGTCTTAGGTGCAGGTCTGCAGTTCCGATCCAGACAGCTGCACCGGCCGGTGGCTTTACTTCATTCAAGCAGCTTGGAGAGCAAGCCGCAAGGAGTTCGTAATATTCAGGACAGAGCATTTTTGGCGATGGCCTCCCGTGCCACAGTGGGGAGGGGCGCAGCTCGACGTGTGCATCTTTGAGAGCATCGTGGATTCATTTCTGGAGAACTCTGATTGCGTAATGCTCCCCCGTCCTGCAGTGAACAATGCACGACGCCTGGCAAAGGACCGCTGCCAACTGCATTGTCACCTGGCCACCTCGGCCCGCAGAACTTGTACCTCCTTCGGCTTGGCTCACCCATGACAGCACGCATGCCCATAGACTCGGCGCCCTCTGGCCGGTGTGGTGACGGATGCGCCACGTCATCCCCGTCCCTCCTCGCTATTTGTGATGATGGCTTCTCCTCTCTAATCCCCGTGACCGGGGACAATGATCCATGGGTACTCGCAGATGCCCCCCCAAAATCGGGCTCAGCCCGCCCATCGGCCCTGGAGGTGTGGCAGGTGAATCCACACAACGTGCGTCCTTCAAACTCGATGACTCAGCTCAACTGGACAGAGCTGCAAGGTCTCCCTGCTGGTGAACCGAACCATCTGCTTCTAACAATGACGCTCTCGACGCCACTGCACCCCTGGCACCCTTGGCATAACCGACAGTCTTGCAATAGCAGCTTCGAAGGAAGAGGCATGCCCAGTCGATCTTGTTTTCTCTCAGTCTGGGCAGTGCATACGGACGGGTCGCAGAAGTCATCGTATCAGAGACCTATAAGATATACTAGACTTAGCGACGGTTCCAAGCAGATATGACTTGTGAAAGTCGCGAACATATGTGCTGGCGAGTTGCTGGCCATTTCTTGTGCCCAGATCTGCAGTCTGGGCAGACACAGCACGCTGGCCCCACGGTCATCGCACATCCTGAGACATATGCTAGAGTTAGAAATGAAAATAGACATGACTATGTGAAAGTTGTGAATATACCTGTGTTATGTGCTGGCGATTTGCTGGCTATCTTTGCTTTTGTTCCATGTGTCCTTACTTAGTCTTCAGCTTTGGCACCTGCGGATTAGGAGCTTACCACGAGGCAGGAGAGCAACCCAAAATAAAACCTTGGCATGAGCCTCTTTGTACTTCTTCTCAGCGGCCTGATGCGTGTCGAGCACAACATGCACAGGCCAATCGAGCGAAATTGGCGAGAGCCTGTCGTGCAGCAGAGTCTTCCCCCGTTGAGCTCGATGACTTCCTGCAAAGATCTGGGATCCGTTATTGGGTGTATATATATATATATATGTGTGTGTGTGCAGATATTGCAGCCAAAGCTCGGAGGGGGCAAAGCTCTTTTGCCATTCCACTTTGCTTGTGCCTTGAGCTGTCTGAGCTCTAGCTGTACACGTGATGGGCATCCATCTTGTGGACCTGCAGCGGCGTCCATATTGGGTTCCTCCTGTGGACCTGGAACGGCTGCGGCAAACAGCGGCTCGTTCTGCGATTCTGTGAATTCATTCATCGGCTCACTCTGCGGGCCAGGAAAGATTGGGCCATTCATCGGGTCATGCTGCGGCCTTGAAACACATGGATGGTGAATTCGGGGAGGATCCAAAGAACATCTCTCGCTCGGACGGAGTGAGGCGTGTCGGATCGGTCGCCTCCCCCGGTCTCCTCGAAGACCGCCTTCGGAGGCTCGTCCGGTGGCCTGGGAGCTCACGAATGCAAGCTATCTTCAAATCTAGACCACCAATGCTCTGAAACCCACCGGCAAAATCTATGAACAATATATGATTGCAAGCTAGCCACAGCGACTCCAAATTCGCTGAGGTGACTTCTTCGATCATCTGCAAGGATGAGGTCGTCGTCCAGCTCTTCCAGCTCCTCCGACCGCGGCTCTGCCACCGGCTCCTTCCCCCTATTCCTCCTCCTAGTCGGCTTCTTTGGCCATTGGCACATCCTAGGATATGCTGAGATCACAGATCGAGCAAGGCTCGCGATAGCTCATGCAAGCAAAGCACATACAAATGAGTAAGTGGGCGGTGCAAGCCGCTTTTGCTTGAGCCTGCCGATTTTCTCGTTGTGCGACGACCTTAGCTGGATTCGGTTCCAGGGTTTTTCGCAGTTTTCGCAAGCTTATTCGCAATGTCTAGTTGCGAATTATCATTTGAATAAGCCAGGTGGCGAGGACTCTTCTAAGAGGCGTCGCACCCGGCTTAGGCATTGTTTCAAGACCTTGGCCAAGATCTTCTGGTCCAGCTCCGGGAAGGTGGTGCCTGTTGCCGCCTTCTCCACCTCCAAAGTCTGGCGTGCGGAAAAACAGGTTTTCATATGCCATGCCCAATCTATAGTCAAGGCACTGCCAGCTCGAACACTCGTGGGGCGGGCACTCTATTCACCGAGACAGAGCCTAATGCAAGCAGCATGGTCTCGCTGACTCCTGAGCATATGCAATCAAATTTGCGACCCAAGCCACTAAGACCATCCAGTACCGCATCTACCATGCTGCAGGCTTCGTGCTCCACGAAGTCCAAAGGAAGCCCCCCCGTCTTGGGGTGTGCAAAGCGGTAACAGTTCGGCCAGATATTGGTCAAGCCTGAGCTGAACATATATGAGTTCAAAATGTACACTACTCTGTGTCGCCGTAACGTGCTAGGAATTCCGGCGGTCCAGAACGGCCAACATCGGCTTCAAAGCGAAGACTATGGAGATCACCACCTCGGATGTTCTTGATTCGTTTCTTGTAGCGATTCATCCCTTCATGTGCAAGCCAGTTGCATCTTCCTCGGGCGACAGAACAACTTTGCCATCCTCCTGCCAGATATTGGGGAATGTTTCATAATTACGAAGCATCTTTCTGCGCACTTTAGTCCTCCGTGCCCATGGCGGCCACCACCCGGCACCGACAAGTCGCTGTTGTGCTTGCCAGCTCTCATGATCTCAGAACTTCTCACATGCATGCATACAGCACTTTGATTTGAGCCTCTGGGCTGCATTTTCCGGTGGTTCAAGCTACCATGTACTGCGACACTGCGACGTAATGCTGCTGAGTATTCAGGGGCACCATCAGCTGGCTTCGGTGGCACCAGCTTGAGAAACCGGTTCATCCGGCATCGCCAGCTTCAGCAGCTGCTTTAACCGTTCGGCATTGAAAGCCATCGTAATTCAATCTAGTTTGGACAGGATTAAGGGGTTGAGGGTTTAGGCTGTTTAGGAACACAGAATCTGCTGCTTCCTGATGTGACCAAGCCTCACCCGACGACGGCATATGCCATGAACTCCAGAGCCACTCTTCGGCGGCTCGTGTCAAAGAACTTTCAGCCACCACAACCAAGAGCAAAACAGCCCATCTCTGATAGCGACAATATGTTGTTTATGTGATCGATGTGACGTTTATATGACTGCATACATCTACTCTATATATGCGTAGAGAGGAAGCAACCTCTATTGGGGCACTACCTCGCCACGTCTATAGGGGTTAGGGCTTAGGTTTTTTCGCAACCGACTTGAGCCAACCTACGAACTCGAATCGTGTGCAACCCCGCTGCATGCAGCTTCATATACGGTTGGGGCCAACTACGAACTCGCATGCAGCACTTTAAGAATTGTCCACCCGAAGCATCGGATCTGCTTACATCTCGGTCTGGGCATGAGACAAAGCGTGAAAACATGGACTTGGCGACCAAAAACGCTACTGCAGCCGCTGCTTGCCGAGGGATCACGATGGACCAGTGGTTCGGGGAACTCGTCCAACTGTGACCATAGTGGCCCGTCAGAGTCGAAGCATGCAGCTTCGGCGCCGCAAGAGATCACGCGTACTCAGTTGCCGTGGGCCACTTCCCCCCTCCTTTCCTTACCCTTAGAGCACCATACTTGTGCTCTCGGCAGGACCTGGACAACTTCGATGGTGACCTCGGCAAGATGGGCCGACACATTGACGTAGCTTTTGAGAGGACAGTAGGTTTTCACAAGTGGAACCACTCTCCAGTGAAGTGGAATGGCATGGACTCATCCGGGCCTGCGTGAACAGACCCCTCGCGAAAGAGCCACGACCATGGCCAAGGGACCCAGAGCGCGGTCCGTGGTTCTCCAGAGGGTGAGAACCCACTTTATGAAGCTGAATTGTTAGTGTGGTTCCCAAAAGCCCAGAGAGTCGTGCAGTACACACCGCGCAAGTTCGCGAGTGAAGCGTGCTTGAGGCACGTCCAGCAGGTGTACAAGTGCCTCGCGCAATTCAGAGTCTGATGCATCAGACAAATCATGGTAACGGTCAGTCCGCTACATCACTCTGCATGGTCGCACCTGCGCACGACCTGGCAGCCAGGGTTATCTCCTCGGTGGGCACGTTGTCGGTGCTTGCCAAAACGACGACGAATTCGACCTGATTATCCTCAAGCTTTTGGGTGGCTTTGCGGTGCCGGGAGGTAGGCTGGAGTTGTCGGCAGCCGATTGCACGCGCGGTTCTCCTTTATATGTGCCATTTGGCCAGGGAGGCAACAACGGCTGCCATCACTAGCCCCCTTCGTTGCCTGTCGCAACCCCGGATGACCTCAAGCGGGGCCGAGGCGTCGGCCAGCGAAAAAGCACCTCGCACGCTGCCTCCGAAAGTTTGGTCTGAGGCTGTCAACCACTATAATGCCGTGGAGGTCGCTGGCGTTCGCACAGAGTTTCCCGTGAAGCGCTTTCAGGTGCAGATAGCATCGTAACAGACAAGGGTGATGCTGCAGTTGGCAATGCAAAGCCACAAACATACATGAGTGATGTGTGATCAAGATCGCACCTGCTGTCTTTTGGCCCCCGCGAGAATCGACAAGTGAGGCGCATCCGGAATCCGGAACGATGCTGGCATCCTGCATCTCGTGCCGTCCTACCGTCGGAAACTGCGCGGAGTTGACGGAACATCTAAGGCACCGAGGCTTCAAGGTCAAACATCGAAGCCGAAGCCTCATCGTGCCACTAGAAGATACTCCTAGTTCGGGTAAAATCCGATGCCCGATCTCAGCGGAAAGCCATCAATCAGGCTGAGCATACCTTGATGGAATGCTTCGGCTTCCACTCAAGTCCAACAGCACTCCTTCCGAGTCATTTCCATCGCTACACATCAGCCGCAGCCCAGAAGGGTCGTGGAAAGTTCCACAGATTCCTCAACTCCCGGGAGAGGGGCTTCTTTATTCGTCATTGCTGTCATGGTAGTCGTCGTCGTCATCATCATCATGTTCATCATTATCACCATCAGCATCATCATCATCACGGCCGTCACCATGATCTTGGGATCATAGTCATCGTCAGTAGTCACGCATCATCATAGTTTGCATCATACCTTCGGCAGCAAGACTCTATCACACACAGCAGTTCAACATCATGAGCTATCATGGTTGATTGAGCAAACTCACCCTCACTATCATCATCATCATCGCATCAACTTCTGCAGGCTTATCTTCCTTTGGTTTTCATATTCATATTCATACTCATATCCATGTTCATATTCATCATCTTCAGCTTCAGCCGTCAAATTTATCTGTTCATCATCGTCTCCACCATATTCATCCTTATCTTCATAGTCTGTATCTCCATCATCACCAGCTTCAGCTTCAATTTCAGCGTTTGTTTCAGCAGCTTCAGACTTCAGCATCTTCATCTTTTCCATTTTCATCTCCGCCTTCGTGCTTATCTTCATATTCATGTTCGTCTTCACCACCTTTGTTTTCCTAATTGTCATCGCCGTCTGCCGTCTCATCTTCATAATATTCGTTTTTGTCCTTACTGTTGCATCATCACCATCATCCTCACATATTTTCCATCCTCTCCGTCAACACCATCATCACCATCACCGCCATCATCACCATCACAACCATCACCACCATCATCGCAATAAGCATCAGCAGCAGCATCTGCAAGTGCAGCCGCAACATCAGCATCAGCATCGGCTGTCGTCGTTGTCGTGAAACTCCTAGTCATCGTCAGCATTGTTGTTTATGCACTGTCATCATGTGCAACTTGTCATGCGTCCTTGTCATGGTATCACTATGCCTCAAGATGATCGGATGATCATGATGCCGGTAATGCTGTCCGGTCGGTTGGGTGACAATGCCAAATCTGTCAGTCCACGAAATGAAGTGTAGTCGTGAGATTGCTTTGAGACGTGTATTGATCAGCTACCAACCAAAGACGTTGTTGCATCAATGTTTTGGATTGAAGCATACACTCGTAGGTCCAGGCCAGCGGCCGGCAAGTGCAAATAGACATGGGCGCAACGCTGCCTTCTGTGACGAACGGGAAAGTCTATGCAAGTGCAAAAAGCCCACTGGCAACAAATGAGGAATGCCGCACCGAAGACCTAGACAGCCGTGCACCTGTGTGAGTAAACAACACGAAGATGCCGAAGACTTGTGTTTCCACCGCGAGTTAACAGCGAAAGTCCAAAAGACCAGACGAGCACTCAGGCGTATTTGCATGTGATATTCACCTTACAGCTTGTGAAGATGCTCGATGCAAGGAGCAATTGCCCAAGATGCTGGAGGGCCGCACAACCCCGATGACCACAGGTGCTGGCCGGGCGAATTTTGTGGGCCTCTAGGGTTTCGAATCCCGAAGATTGGGGCTACTTGTTGGTTTCTGTCAACTGTTCATGCGAAATGACGAGCAGTTCATGGGCCAGAGGGAGGGAGGGAGGAGGATGAGGAGGATGAGGAGGATGAGGAGGATGAGGAGGATGAGGAGGATGAGGAGGATGAGGAGGATGAGGAGGATGAGGAGGATGAGGAGGATGAGGAGGATGAGGAGGATGAGGAGGATGAGGAGGATGAGGAGGGGAGGAGGGAGGAGGGAGGAGGGAGAGGAGGAGGGAGGAGGGAGGAGGAGGAGGGAGGGGGAGGAGGGAGGAGGGAGGAGGAGGAGGGAGGAGGGAGGAGGGAGGAGGGAGGAGGGAGGAGGGAGGAGGGAGGAGGGAGGAGGGAGGAGGGAGGAGGGAGGGAAGCAAGACAGCTTTTGCTGCCTCCCGTCTCCGGAAGACAGAAGAAAAGAGCGTCGACCCCACGGAAAGACAGAGCCAGCACGAACTGAATTTGGCCAGGCTGCATTCTCGCAGAGCTGCGGTCTTTGGGAGACCGTGCCCTTGGGGCGGCGGTCATAGCAAAGGGGCAAGTTGGCAGCAGTGGGACCTAGGGCCTATGAGTTCAGGTTTAGACAGGTTCGGAAGTGGCATTGCATCGAGCGCAAGACACGAAGGTGCTTAAATAAAGCAGAAGGCCCGAGCCTGCTGAACTAGGGGAGCGGACCCGAACCAAATCGGCAGCAGATTCAGCGTTACAGTTTGCATGTTGGCTGAAGTGACCAGTGCAGCACACTCTCATGCTGAGGCATGCGCAAAGTCGACAAGTAATAATGCTTTGCGTCGATCAAGGTACTACCGCGTAAAGTGTGGGCATGACGAGCACCCGATTGGTGCCTCCAAGTGCATCCTCGAGCAGATTGGTCGGACCAACGACAGGAGGCACTTCTGAAAGAGGGTTTTGCAGCGGGTTTAGGGGTCTTGACGTCGGGTGCCTGAGGTTCTTCGTTGCAACACAAGACCCGGAGCTTCGTCAACAGTTGCGGGGCGTCCCGGGTGTGCCTTTGATGAGGCTCGACATAGAAGAGCATTCGTTACTTTGATTGCAATCTGAGCCAAGTGTTGCAGGCTCAATGGCCCTGTGCCTCAGTTGGAGGAGCCTTCCGACTCCACGCGACGCCTGGCAAGAGAGGGCGAAGAGAAGAAGCGCGGGCCCTCTGCGTGGGAGAAGCCAAAACTTCCAGAACTGAAGGCTAAGAGGGGCTGTCCCTGAAAGTCTGAAAAGGTTTCCGAAGCTTTCAAGAGCGAGAGGTCTAGATGGTACTTGATGCACGTGCCTGATAGGCCAAAGAAGTTCTGAGAGAAGCCCTGGCCGCAAAGCCCAGGGCAAAGAGGAAGCAGAAAGGACCGGGTGCGGTTGCAGACTCTTAACCACGGATGATGGCTTCAGCCGGGCTCGTGGTAGGAGTGAACCCGCTCGCTTGCAAGAAATCCACGAAGACGAAAGCAGGCTCCATGTAGAGCGTGTTGCAGTCGGATTGGGCTGCAATCGGGCTGCCACACCGCACTCCATTCCTGCCCGAAAGCGTGAAAGAGAAGTTGGCGGCCGTAAGCACCGCCACTCCATTCTACTCCTGTCACGCTCTGCAGGTGCACTGCCTTCAAAGCAACCGAAGCAAATCCCCGTGGAGCCAAAGACAAAGCGTGTGCGCTCGCGGCGGATGGGTAACCGGAGCCGCGTGGAGGAGCCCAGAGCAAAGCGTTTTTCTCCTGTGGAGCAAACGGCTTGCTTTCAGCTGTAACACTGTAAGTTCTGCGAAGTACTGCACAGGTAGAGGCAGTGCTCGCCAATGTGTCCGAGGCCCTTCTGTGCTGCGTTCGGGGAAGTCAGAAAGTCGTGTGGTTCTTCCCATGTTTCAGGCAACGCCTGCTCAGACGGCAGTTGCAGCTCCGATGAAGAAGCGCGGTCGCCGCTGAGGCAAAAGAGCTGTAGGCTGGTTGGAGGTATCGCTTTTTTTAAAGGAGATCGGGTTGAAGTCATAGACAATCCAAGCAGATGGGGCATGTGGCATGTGGTCCCGTGCCCTGTGCATCAGTGGAAGCTTAAACCCTTTGCTTTTTCGAACGCTGCCGACGCTGTCCAAGCAGCAGAGCCAATGCAGCCAGGATTAGCCAAGTGAATCTACCGGAGCGAACCCGATGCAGCAGGGGTCGAAGTTGCACATCTTCTGCCTGATGCGCGCATGGGCTGCAGCAGATGGCGAAGCGGAAGCGGCCAGGGAAGCCGGCTGAGTCCACGAAGACCCGCACCCAGCTCAACAATGCCAGGCCTGTGTGATTGCTAGCTTGTCGATGCGCACCGACTCGGTTCCGTGCGCAAAGACCAGGAAGAGGGCAGCAAAGAAGCGAGCAAAGCAGCAAGCCAAGCTGGTCGACCCCTCCTTGGCGGGGTGCTCAGAACAACCAGCTGAAGAACTGCAAATCGCCACGGTGGGCTGGAGGTTTTCATTCAGAATCCTTTGGGCGCACCGACGGTGGTTCGAGCGAAGGGCTGGTTCGCAGACTTGGGCAAGAAACTCCCGTTGCGACTCGGTCCTTTGGAAGGCGGGGGCGAGTCTCGGAGATCATGGCACTTCTGTTGATGCCGAAGCATATTAAGTGCAACGTGGAAGGCTGGCGAACGTCGGCCAAGTTGGCGGTGCGTGCATCGGGCGCTTCTGGCGTAAAAATCGGCCTTTTCGTGCCAAAGTCGCATGACGTGGTGCCGATCAGCGGCTGTGCCGCTCATCATGCCTCCATCAACACAGCTCTGGAGGCCAACGCGTCTTTCATGCAGTCTTGGGACACAGGAGCCAAACAAAGCCGCAAGAAGACAAAACTGCAGCCCATGTCTCCTCGCTTCTTCAGCTTGCTTTTGGCCCCTGCGGGAGGCGATCAGCACGGCATGTAAAGCTGCGAGAATTCGTGGATACGACGAAGACAAAGGAGAAGGTCTGGAGTTCGACTTCTCCCCTTGGCGCGTCTTCTTCCTCTCAAGTCGTTGTGAATGCGTCCGTTTCGAGGTGACCTGCGCTATGTGAAGCTGGAAGTGCAGCGCTCCAGCGAGCTGGTGCAGGTCACCCTCGTCTGGCATGCAAGCTCCCAGGAGGAGGTGGCCGATGGAGATAAGCTTGAGCGGACTTGGAAACAGCTTTTGCAGCAGAGGCGGGGAAGCCGCTCCGGAAGCTCCTCACTTCACTCCAGCAGCACGAACT